ATTTGATTTGATTCTATTTAGCTTTCATGAACATTAAACCTAGTTAACAGGGCTAATGGCCAATTATGTACCGGATAATTTCCTCCTTGTTGCTGTTGGGTTCCATCAAGTCTTAGTGACTCTATGGATAGACGTTCTCTAACTTGCGCCTACTTTAGAGTGAACTACACAGTTCTTACAGGTGCATTCCTGTACCTTCCAGGATCAGCCTATCTACTTTGGGCACTGTCCACCTCTTCTTTTAGTTCTGTCCACTTTGTGTCAATTTTTTAAAAAATTACAACTTGCTAACCACTAGGGGTGTTAGGATTGGTCAACATCCAACTGGAATTGCCAATGGAGTTCAGATGTACAATCTGATTAGATTCAGACTTCCAGTGAACAGCAGTTATGTGATGCCTGACTCAGTTTAGAGGCATCTGCTTTGAAATAACAATTAAAATTACCTCCCATCATCAGGTGCATACAGAGAGTTTTCATGCTTTGTTTCTGTTATTCCTCAGCTATGGAGGGCCTTATAATGGACACACCATGTTTGATGTTTGTAACATGGAAGTGTTCTTCTGATTGTATTTTCCCTAGGAATGGGGAATACATTTTCCCTATGAATAGGGTTAAATACATGGTTTAACACTTCAGAGGCATTCACTGATCTATTCCTCTCATGGAGCTTTTGTTATTAAGTCCCATGTCCATTTGCCTTTTCCTGTGATAGATTTAACAGACACACACCACAGCTCCTGAATGGTCCTCAACCACCCAGAACAAATGCAAACAGAAAGCTTTGATGATGAGCGCTGATGATGTTATCTAGTTGGGTAATCGAGCATCTGTAGGCAAGCAACCAAGCTGAGAGAGCACCAAGGACTGCACAAACTTGAAAGCTCTCGTCTGCAGGAGGTTTTTGCCTTACTTCCCTCTGCAAGTGGAATCACTGTGTAACATCCAGCTACTGTCATAAGACTGACAATAATATTTTGCCTCATCTTCTGGTTGAACGCCAGTAATGATTAAGGTAGCTGAAGAGCTGTCGATAGTCCCAGAGAATCGGTCTGGAATGTCAGCAGGCCTGTAGATTTGCTGATAAATCAATAGTTTGGGTTGTTCGTTGGATTTCTGTTGATACCAGGACACGTAGTAACTATTCATAGCTCCACTGCTCCTCGTACAGGAGATCTGGACCTTTCCATCAACAGGGGCTGACACGGAAGCTGGCTGGGTCAATACAAACTGGGCCGAGGCCCCTAAAAGAAAATAAAGACAAAGGGAAGCAATGGCCTGGTGAGACTTGGGTTCCATCAAAGCTGACTGAAAGAGAAAGGAAGCCCACCAACATTGTCAGAAGATGCATCTCTTCTTGGGTGTTTCTCCAAGAGAGCAAAAGTTGTATATCCAAGGGTTTATATTTGGAAAAATGTTCTCCTTTACCTGTACAATAAGAGAAAAGGAGGAGGAGGAGAACAGCTTGTGCCATGTTAAGGCAAAGAGTACAAGGGATGGCCATGACGAGGTTTCCTGTGTGCAAAATATTTTGCAGATACTGCTTTCCTTTAAGGCCCAAGTGATGAGAAATGCAAAGGCATGCAAAGGTCCTTCCTCTTTGTTGGTGGTTGTCATCATCCATAATGCCCCTTATAAAGTTATAGGGAGGGAGAAACACTTTGTCCCTGAACCATTTCATGGTCCTGGATTGGCCAGTTTAGAGGCCATACTCATGGGCAATCTAGCTGATTGTGACTTGACTATCATTTGTCTGAATCAGGACTTCTCCAGACACAGTGGTGTCCCAGTTGTCACCGCACAATGATTCCTAAAAGATCCAGCTGGCATAGCTATCTTTTACCCACAATGAGAAAGCATTATAAATGGATGGACTACTGTAGAGTGTTTTCTTATTTTTCTTATTCAGTCCCCACCATTCCTTTCTTCCCTGGTCAACCTTTCTTCCCCACCAGCAAAGAACACTTACAGATCATGGCTGCAAACTGTTTCTACCTCTTCTTCTCCTTAATGTACCAACTGGAGACATTAATGAACATGACTACTGATGCATCTTAATTGTCAAGGAATACTCAAATGAGTATTTTGAGTATAAATTGAGTATAAATTGAGTATAAATTGAATATCATGCTAAAGCTGAGCTGGACAATTCTTCCAACAAAGACATAGAATGAATTCACAGGATGGAGGTAGGAATACGAAAAAGCAGACCAGGCAAATATCTTCTGGATGGCACCCCTTCAAGTACTGGAGAGGTTTTCCCAGGCTTTTCTCCTCATGGCTAAACATACCCATTTCCCTTAATCTCTCCTTGTAAGATGGTTTCATCATCATTACCCTTCTCTTCCTTTGTTCCAGTTTCTCCCAATCTTCCTTAAAATATGGTGCCTCTGACTAGGTGCAGTACTCAAGGTCAAGTTTGGCCAAAGCAGAACAGAGCTGAACTATTAATTTTTATGATTTTGGAAAAATAAATGTTTGTGCAATTTCAATAACATTCTTTCCAATCTTCATATCAAAGTCATTAGTGCAACACAGTTAAAACTATGAAATAAATTGGGAATGATCATATTAAAAGTTTAACTAATTGGATATAAAGTAAATGTCACTTAAACTCTCTAGGAGAAGCTCCTCTTGATGTCTTCAGTTGAAGAATGGAAAACCAGGAAGATTGCAGACTGCTGGAGAAATATCTGGACCGTGAAAGTCAGGATGCTTCATAATTAAGGTACTCCATATGTAAGATACGTTCCAAAATTCCATATCATAAACATGAGAAAAGCAGGGTTTCTAAGATTTCCAGTTTCTAAAGTCAGCCTTGTGATTCTACAGTAAATGACTTTTGTGGTGCTTTAAAAACGAATGCATTTACTATGGCATCAACTTTCACAGACTAGAGGGAACATCCTACAATAGGTCCAGGAAAAGGGATGGAATGGTTAAAGGAAAATATAATGTAGGATGCGCACACACTTATAATGGCCTAGAAACATTGGCTATGCCTTTGCAAAACAGTTTGGGGATTTAATAAAGACTTTCTTGCATTAGCGAACTGATTCAACTATATGTTGATGATGAACTTTGGCTACTATTGAATCTGTGAGAAATAGTTTTTAAAATCAGAATAAATTCCAGGTGAGCTCTTTGTCAATTACTTTGTTCTCTGAAATTCCTCAGGTCCAGCCTGCTGGGTTTACCTCCAGCATCCCTAGTTGCTAATGTAGCCCAACGATAACAAAAACACAAAGATTTTTTTTTCCCCTGGATTCCCTATTTCGGTGAATAACTGTGCCACACGCCCCTTGGATTTACACAGCGATAATGCACCGCTTCATCTCCTGCCAAAGTATTCATAACAGCCAGGGACGTCGCATTGCTTAACCTGAATCCAGAAAAATAGACTGGGAAACCCTCTGCTGCTAATGTCACATATGAAAACCTGGAGGGCTTTTCCTGGTTTAAGCTGGACCCACTGAGGACACTTCTTGTCACGATGTCTCCATTGCACCTGCAAATATGGTGACTCTTCCACCAAAAGACACAAAATCCTGGTCTTTTGAGGTCTGCAGCTGTTAGAAACTGAGACGCAAGAAGGAACGGAGCAAGTTTATTGAGCAGACTAATTAAAGGTGGGAGGAAGGGAGCATATTCAGACTTGCAAGATTCTTTCATTGTAAAGAATTTAGAATAAAAGTAGTCCCGACCGATATGACTGTCGTGAGATTTTAGCCAAAGACAGGAGCACAATGCTGAAGAGAAGAACCATGTTTACTGCAATGGTCATTGGGTGCCTGCTTTCAAGAAAGAGGGGCCCCGAACAATAGAAAGGCATAGAATTTATACACTTTTGAGGTTGAGAGGTGGGAAATCTGAGGGATCGGATTCAAGGATAGGTTTGGATAGGTGTTAAATGGGGGATAAATGGTTTTTCTATTGTGAGATAAGAACCATGGCAAACCCTTCAGCTGACAAGTCATGGCCCTCCCATTGTTTCAATAGAATAGTGTTAAGAGGGCTATTTTGGGCAGTGGAATATGGTCACTCTTGGGTCACACAGTAGCTTGGAGCTGATCCTGTTTTGCATGCGCAAAGAATGGCAGAAGGAAGTGGAGGAAAGAGATTGCAGGAGAGGCAAGGAGGGGGGGCAGAAAGAGAGGCAAGAGGAGGGAGGAGAGTGTCCAGCTTTATTTTATTATTTTTCTATCACATGACATCGGATTGCTAGTCTGATCCACCTTGAAGGGCTGACCCTGCTGGGCTATGTGGACTTCCCATTTCATAGAGTGTGATCCAGTTCCTATTGATCAGTAGAACTCCTGCTTTGTCTGAATTCAATTTCTGAGTGTTCTCTCTCATCCAGCCTAGGAACACGCTCAGACAATCTTCAAGAGTATTGATTGTTTCTGGGAACTAGAAAGTAATGAATAGAAGAGACGGAGTTCATTAGAAATTCCCCAGCAGTTTCATCTGGATCTTGAACAGCATGAAGAACCAGCTACTGAACATGTAACCCATGCCCTAGTTATCAATTTATAATCCCATAGCACCACCGTCTGGACACTTCCTGAGAGGTGACATCAGAAACATTGTAAATGACTGGTGGTCTCTCAGAAGTTCCTTAAGACCTGGCTGTTCTCCAAGGCACAGGGGTTAGGTGAGCCGGTGAGTTATTGTGATGAGTGTTAATGAAATCGGGCTACCATGTTTCATTTCTGAGTTGTTATTTTATGATTATATTGATGTTTCTATCTCTCTTCCCTGCCCAGAGGAAACAGAGGAACATTTGTGCGAGATGGAGGGCCATACAAATAGAATATATAAGTAAACAAATTTGATCAATGGGACCATGTTGCTTTCAGTGTTCAGAGATTTTACCTGCATGCAGTTGATCTGCTTTAATTTGAAAAATATATGGCAACTGTATCGAAACAGAAGCGCTCAGGGCAGAAACTCTGTGTTAAATGAGTTGTAATAATTCAACTGATCCCTTTCCTTCCACCCATCATGAAGGCCCTGTCCCAATTGCAGCATCCTTCTGAAACTCAGACACCGTCACATCACTACGAGTCTAAAGGGGTGTGATAGCAGCAAGGAAACACCCTGGAGTTTGAGACGGTTAGGAGGAACTAAGAACACTATTTCAGACATTTGCAAGTCATGCATGTCGGAGGTCACCTGCTGCAAGGTTTTTGTTCAGCTCTTCAGTGGGATTGTAACATCGTGTACATGCCACTGCCTGCATAACATGAACAATAATAATCAGCTTCATCCTCTCCTTGAAGACTGGAGATGGTCAGTGTGGCCGATTTTGCAGAGTTTTCAAGAGAACCAGAGAATCGTGCTGGGATTCCAGAGGGTCTTTTGCTGTCCTGATATATAATGAGGTTGGGGGCCCCGCCAGGCTTCTGCTGATACCAGGATGAATAGCCTGTTCCAATTGTTCCAC